TTCGGGGCTCCGCGGGCTGCGGACGGCGGCTGTGAAGGGCCAATAGTCCTGGCCGCGGGGCACGCAGCCCATGCGCGCTGCGAAGCGGGGAGCTGAGAACCGGCCGGCCGACCCACCGAGAGGATGTAATAGGACGATAGCTTTTAATGGGCCCCCCTCACCTGGCCTGATTGCCCAGTTCTGCCACAGGGGGTCAGATCCGACCACCAGGAAATTCTGATGTTCAATTTGAGCGAGGCCTGGAGCCAGCTCTATAAAGGGAAAACACTTAATTCATTACCTACTTAAGTCGAGAAGACTGGGCCTCAGTAGAACCTAATTGAACAGGCAAAAAGCAATCGAGGCCATAATTAGCTGTGACACACGCAGCCCAGCAACTGGTGCCCCAAACTATTGGTTGATAAAGACTATAGGTGTGCAGAGTGCAAGGTACTGTAAACCAGGGGCTTCCTTTCAGGGAAGCTTTCCGGGACATGAGACAGGCGTGTACCTTGGAGTTGCCCCATAGGTAATGTCTCAGCAAGGATGAAAGAAGCTAGAAGTTGGGGGAGTAGACTGGTTACAGACTGAGAAATACCAATTCAACTCAGATAATAGGGAGTTATTGAAAATTGTGGGTAGGGATGCAATAAGATATAGATTGTATTTTGAGACGAGCAATACGGATCCACTCAGGGAGGTAGAATAGAGGGCTGGAGGCATGAACTCAAATTAGGAGACTAATAGGACCTAGGTATCAGGTGATGAAAGCCTGGATTAATACAGTGGCAATGTTTGTAAAGCAAAATTGGACAGGCTTTTGTGACTGATAAAGGAGTTGGAGATGAAAAGATCATATATTTCTTATGCTCATTGAGGGAATTATGGCATTTCCAAATAAAAATGTCCTGTAGGCAGCTGAGAATCTTATATCTAAAATTATTTGATTAAAAACTTCCATTTAAGCCAGTGGTTCTCAACCTTCTGGCCCTTTAAATACAGTTCCTCATGTTGTGACCCAACCATAAAATTATTTTCGTTGCTACTTCATAACTGTAATGTTGCTACTGTTATGAATCGTAATTAAATATCTGATAGGCAGGATGGTCTTAGGCGACCCCTGTGAAAGGGTCGTTCGACCACCAAAGGGGTCGCGACCCACAGGTTGAGAACCGTTGATTTAAGCCCTAACTGGTTTTGCTCAGTGGATAGAGAGTCAGCCTGCGGACTGAGGGGTCCCGGGTTTGATTCTAGTCAAGGGCATGTACCTTGGTTGCAGGCACATCCCCAGTAGGGAGTGTACAGGAGGCAGCTGATCGATGTTTCTCTCTCATTGATGTTTCTAACTATCCCTCTCTCCTCCTCTCTGTAAAAACTCAATAAAATATATTTTTTAAAAAAGACAAAAGCTTTAAAAAAACAAAAAACTTCCATTTAATGCATAAATCCCACTGTATTCCTGCTTGATAGCCTCCAAAGATGGTGACCGGGTTATCTTATGACAGCCCCCACGTCATTGTGGCACAATCCTAGATTTCCTTTCATGTGGACTTGGAAGTTTCCAATTCAGGACAGAAGACAATTTAGGGCATTGTCTGTGCTTGCCATTCCTTGTACTATTTCTTGAATTTAGCACCACAACAGTGGATGAGACCTGAGGAAAGTAAACAGGATTGATAACTGAACCACGGGCAATACCTCAACTTGGGGAATGAGGCAGAAATGTTACTGATTAAGTTCTCTGAAAGAAATCTGAACCAAAGGCATAAGATCAGTGTCAAGCAGGATTTTTTTTTAAAAGTGTACTCTTCCCTAATTCTTTTCACTTTAACTGTGTCTCCTCTTCTAGGTAACTACTTAAACTATTTTGTCTTGTTTTAACTTTATATCCCCAGGGCCTATCAGTGTCTGTTATATATGAGGCACACAGATGTTAAATGAGCAATGCTCTAAAGCAGCGGTTGCCAACCGGTGGTCCGCAGACCACTGGTGGTCCGTGAGGTCCAAAAGGTTGGTGACCACTGCTCTAAAGGACAGAGAATTAAGACAGAAAAAGACAGTGGAGATTTTCAAAGAAAGGCGTTTCATGAGAAGTACTCCCTGATCTCATAAAAGTCTTTCATTGCCTGGACAACCATTAAAAGGCCCCTTTTTTAACTTGAATAGACTTGCTTCTATAGGTCTGTTGAATGTATGCTTTTTCAATGGGTCAGATTTTCGGCAATATTATTGTAATTTAAGAAAATGTCTCCAAAGGAAGAAAAGAACATAAATTGGTTCACTTAAAAACAGATACACTGAGATAGACTCTCAAAAACATGGTTTTCCTCTTTCTAAGGCTATATAGGCACTTGGATGAATTATTAAGGCAACAAAAGCCAGAGGTTCAGTAGTAACTCACTGAACTGTCCTCTAATTCATAAATATAGGAAATGCTAGCTTATAAGCTAGGATTCAGAAGTTGCTTTGGAAAGAGACATACGTATTTATATAACAAAAGTAAAATTATGGCCGAAACCGGTTTGGCTCAGTGGATAGAGCGTCGGCCTGCGGACTGAAAGGTCCCAGGGTCGATTCCGGTCAAGGGCATGTACCTGGGTGACGGGCACATCCCCAGAAGGGGATGTGCAGGAGGCAGCTGATCGATGTTTCTCTCTCATCGATGTTTCTGGCTCTCTATCTCTCTCCCTTCCTCTCTGTAAAAAATCAATAAAATATATTTTAAAAAAAACAAAACAAAAATCAAAACAAAACAAAACAAAAAAGAAACCAAAAAAAAAAAAGTAAAATTATGAGGCAGTCATAGCCCTAGGCCAGTCGAAAAACACTACCTATTTGTCCTATAATATACTTACATGTTAGAATGCCATTTTTTTGTTAGCTAACCATTATTATTAAAAAGGTCTTTTAATGGGACATAATTCTTGTTCTAACTTGGGAAGTTAGGAATGTCCTTCTTCCTCAACCCTGTAAAGAAGAAGCTATCCTTAGCACCTGCTGTACAAATGAAACCCTCACTACTTTCTCAGTCCCGGCGACGACAAATTAACATCTTCTTGTGCTTAACTCCCCCCACCCTCCCATCCTTCCAGTCTCTGGGGGGAAGGGAGGGGAGACAGCAGGCAGTGGCCGATCCTGGGGAAATGAGGCACAGATACCACAGCACTGTTTAATCAGGGATTTCATTACGGTTAAATCTCTAGGAATGAGGAAGTCGGTTAGTGGGCACGAAGCCCATGAAGCC